CAGCGACTTAGCAAGCAGTTGGTATCTTCAAACAGCTGACAACTAACTAGGCTAGTATCTTCGAGCATCTGGTATCTTCGAAGACTTTGACAATTAACCAAGCTGTAAGTTTTTCTTTTCAATTATTGTTGAACAAGCTATCTTTCTCTCCGCATTTCTGTTGAGACGTACCCGAATTGAAACCCTACCCACCAACCCCCTTTGAAATTAAATCCCTACCCACCAACTCCCTTTGAAATCAAAACCTGGATTAAAACCCTACCACCAAACCCCTTTGAAATTGAGTCCCAAAATAATTCAACAGATTGTCTGACATAATATATGCTTAGGAATATAAAACATAATATATGAGGGAATATATGCTCCTAAATTCAACAAATTGCCTGATATCAACATTCTATATAGCTTAAGGCTATTGTTTTATTGTGTATTTGTGTTGGTTTGAATAACTTTATGTATTTGATTTCAAAAATATATGCTTAAGGTTATTGTGTTGGCTTGATATCAGAATATATGCTTGAGTTTGATTAATCAATAATTTGTATTTGATATTAGCATCCTGGCTATTTTTATTATTGGGTATCAGCGGTGGTGTAATTGTTCTTTGATGTAATTGTACTATTTCGGATTATATTTATGATTTGTAATATAGTTGTTGGTGGAATTTGATTGTTTTGGATTGTGGTTTGTACTTTATAATATGATGTGGTATTTCTAAATATCTTTTTTTTTTTGTTAGTTTGTTATTTTTATAAAATTATATGACATTTTTAAAGAAACGGGTAAATGGGTGAAACGGGTGATTTACCGTGTTAACACAACCCTACTCAACACGACTCGTTTAAAATTATACGTGTTAACAAGTCGTGTCGTATTACCTGTTCATTGAGCGAGTCGTGTTTGTGTGGAGGTTTTTCACTCCTTTATTAAACTTGTCGTGTACGGGTTTACATGTTTTTTACTCATCACCTGTTTTAACGCGACACGTTTGACACCCTTAACAGTGACTAATATCCGAGCCAGAGAGAGTAATCAACGCAAGTTTAAACACTCGGTAATATAAAAAAAGAAAAAAACTATGAGTGTGTTTTCCTAAGTACTTTTTTTTTGGGCAAATATTCTTATGTACTTATCTTCCCTGCTATATGTTTTGGGCCTACTGAGTCTACAAGGGAACAAATTGGACGGACAAATGTGTTGTTCATGGTCAACGACCCAAACAACTAAACTGAAAACTATGCACCATGGCCTGATGAAATAAAATAAGATTTTAATGTCTACACGTAAAAGATTTTTCAATAGGTAAATATGCTTTCTTACCCAAGTCAAGTGTTGGTTGCAGAAGGTCTTTCTGTCATAATAAATTAGTGAATTTGGATGTAATGACTAAATTGAAATATAATTATAACTCTAAATATTTGATTATTACAATTATAACTTTAAGAGCCAAATAAGAATTAAGTACATATTTTAAAGGTATAAATTGTAATTTACCCTTGAATTTTTTGGTCTGATTGCTCGGCCAGCAAGCTTTCTCAGGCAACCCACTGAACTTCGTGGATAAAAAATATGGCCCATCTTTTAGGCTATTGGTTGTCCTGACTCATGACCCTACTGGGTCACCAAGGACTAATGAGTCTGTCCATGGAAAGTATAATTTTGCTCAAGAGAAATTTGAAAGTTGGTATAAAAATTGGAATTAATTGAGTTGAACTATATTAAGGAAATTTATTTGGTTCTAAATACATTTTTTTAGAACAAGACTAAAGATCATTTATTATTTCATTACTCTCTTTTCTCCCCCCCCCCTCCCCTCTCCATTACTTTCTCACTCTCTTTTACCTACTTTCTCTCTCCCTGTCTCTCTCTCTCTCTCCCCCATTGATAATTTAAAGATTTGATTTGATTTTTTCATCTCTTTTTCTCTTATATTCTCTCTCTCTCTTATTTTCTCTCATTGTTTTCTCTTTATCTCCTTATTTTCTCTCTATCTTTATTTCAACGTTACAATAACATAATTATATCAATCAATTACACCAATTAGTTACAATTGTTTTATAATACACTAAATAATTATTCATGTATTCTAATAAATCAAACAATTATACGAAATTACAATACTAGTCAAATTTGACATTCAGTTGTTTACATAAATTAAAGAATTACATCATTTAGTATCACGACATAGTTATATTAATTATATACACCAAATTGAGTTTATCATTACACAAAAGAGTTTACCATAACACCAAATTTGGTTTATATAATTAGTGTAACTATGTCGTAATATTAAATGATGTAACTCTTTGATTTATGTAAATAACTGAGAGAAAATTTAGATTGGTATCGTAATTTTGTGAAATTATTTGGGGTAACTATTTAGTTTATCAGAACACATGAGTAATTATTTAGTATGTTATAGGACAATTGTAACTGATTTGTGTAATTATATTGTTATAAGACTATTATAAAAAAAAAAGAGAAAATATGGAGAGAGAGAGAGAGAAAAAAAAAATAAGGAAGAGATAGAAAAAGTAATGGAGAGGGAGAGAATAACAGTATGAGAAATATGGGGAGAGAGAGGGTATGAAAGAATAAGAATTATGCATAATTTAAGGAAGTGTAAGTAAATAAAATAAATAAAATGTCATTTAAATTTTGTACATAATCATAAAATATTTTTATTAAAATTGAACTTAATGGATTAAACAACTTTTCCATACACTTCATCTCAAATAAGTCTAAAAAATTATACTCACACTCAAAAAATCTTTTTCTCAAATTCTAAGTATTACAGAAGAAAAATATTTATGACTTTTGATCACAAAAAAAAAATGTTAGAAAAAAAAAAAAACAATTAGTTGGACCTAATTTACATCTATTCACTCACAACTATTGGGTTATTAGTGGATTCCAATATTAATTAGGACCCTCGGTCAATTTAATGATCATGATGAATTAAGTCCTAAATTAAGTCTCAATATTATTCTTAGAAAAATATTTTTAATATAGTTGAACTAATGCTCCATTTGGTAGAAATGATTAAAAGTAGGAGGGTTACAATTTTTATCATTCAAGGAAGAAAAGTATGAATAATACATTTTCTTTCTTTTGTTTTTGATAGGATCGATGAAAAATAAAAATGATTAATTTTTTTTATATTTGGTAAGATGAAAAATTTTATTTTATTTTATTTTATTTTTTATTTTTTAAATTTAAAAATTTTTTAAAAAAAATTTAATACTTATCATTGCATTTATATATAGAATTATGTATACATAATATATGCATATATCAAATGATATATCTATATAATAAAGTACAAATGCAATTCAAATTTCAAAAAATAAATAAAATGACTTTTATTTTTCGCAGTTGAAATCTCTTTAAATTTTATTTTAAAATTAATTTAAGGGCTAATATTAATATCTCAAATTAAATAGAGAATAAGCTCCTAAAGATGTATTTTGGTAACTTTTTAAAATTATTTTATAATTTTTTATAAATACTTTAAAAAAAATAGTATTTGAAATCGTCCCACCATCATAACTACCCCCGCCACCATCGCCGCCACCCCCACTGCCCCACCCCCACTACCACCACCACCGCTGCCACTATCCAACCACCATTTTTGCCACAACAAATCGCCATCACCACGCAACCACCACCACCACCACCGCTATCGCCACCCTAACCACCACCACTACTTTTTCACCATTACCCTTACCATCACCCTCCCCACCACCCCACCCATCACCCCCTGCCACCACCGTAGCCACCACCCCACTACCATCACCACTGTCATCGCCCACAACTACCGTCACCCATTGTCATCCACACCCACCACAGGTAATAACTAGTCTATATAATAAAATACAATATAATTCAAATTTCAAAAAATAAACAAAATAATTTTTACTTTTCGAGGTTAAATATCTCTTTAAATTTTAATTTTAATTTAAAATCAATCTAACGACTAATATTAACATCTTAAATTTAATAGAGAAAATAAACACATAAGCGTGTTTTTGAGTTAACTTTTTAAAAGTACTTATAGTATTTATAATTTTTCACAAGTACTTTTTTTGAAAAAAAAAATAGTATTTAGAACTATCACACTACCACCCCCACCACCATAACTACCCCCACCCCCACCACCACTACCACCACCACCTTAGCTTCAATAACCACCACCACCACTATCACCTAGCCACCACCACTACCATACCCTATCGCCCCACCACTACCGTCATCACAATTGCCGCCACCCTACCACCATAACCACCCCCACCACCACTGTCATCCCACAACCACCTCTTCTACAACAATCACCACCACCACTATTACCACCCACCACCACTACCATCCACTATCACTATCACCGCTTGCTCCAACTACAACCGGTGTTTAAATTTATTTCTCTCTTCTCTATCTTTGCAATTTGATTTTGGATGTAAATACAAATATATTTATTGTTAACCATTTTTTTTATTAGTAAAGGCACGAGAAATAACTAGTAGACAAATAATATATATTTCAATAAAAATAATTAACTTTCTTTACAATTTTGGAGAGATTGATTTTGGTGAGTTGGAAGAAAAACTCATTCATAAACTTTTTCATCTTTCTTATTTTTTCTTTCTTATCAAATATAATATTTTATCTATTTTTCTAACTTTTCATCGTTCTAACTTTTTATTCTTTTATTTTTTTCATTACACCAAACACAACAAGTGTTATGTGCCATCATGCACTGCGGCCGCATTAGAATATGAATGGTACGATGTAAATAACCGTCACCGCTAACTGAGCAACGGTAACCAGGACAATGGTCTGCTATACCCCTTTTAACGCAAGTCCATTCCTTCATTAATCTCTCTCTCCCTCTGAGTGTGTGTCCATAGTTAGTTAGGGTTTTCAACAGTTACGGCTTTGCATGGTTAGGAGTTGTCAATCTCTACAGCTGCTGAGCATTAATCAATTCTGAAGGCTTTCAGGCAATGGTGGAAGTAAGTGAAACCGATCTGATCAACCAGGTTCCGGTTATATGTGGACGAACACACCGTAGTCATCCCTTTGGCATTTTCTATGGAGATAATCCTCTAGATTACTCTTTTCCGTTGGTGTTACTAGAGATTTCGACTGTTGTCATGATCACCCGTATCGTTCGTCATCTTTTGAAACCTCTCAAACAGCCTAGAGTTGTCTCAGAGATCATTGTAAGTTCCATTCTTCTTCCATTTTTCCTCATGTGTGCAGTTGAGAAAAAGGACAATTTACATCATCTTTTGGATGAAATGAAGGTCGACCATGACTCTTGGTATGGGTCATTTACATCATCAAGGGGAATATTGAAATGCGAAAGGATTATCAAAATGATTTATAATTAATTAGCTCAAAAATTTAGGAAATATGAAGAAATTTACTGGCTGGCTCTATATTTGCCTAACATGAAATGTTAGGCGTGACCCAATTTTTCCAAGTAATTCCTAACGAGGCATCTCCTGCACTCAGACCCAGATTTCCTCTTTAAGCACCATCCACATGGATTTGAAGACTATTGCGACTTTATAAGCTTGATGAATGTGGAGCAAATCTCTCTCTCTCTCTCATGTTTGTATTGCGTTATGGTTGAAATTATTCCATAGGACATTTTGTCCATTTTGCTGGCTAATGTTGTATTTGATATTTATCAGGGTGGTATTATAATTGGCCCCTCCATCTTAGGCAGCAACAAGAAGTTTTCGACATATGTTTTCCCAGAAAACACCGAGTACGTGTTGAAAAACGTTGGAGTGTTGGGTCTGATGTATTTCATGTTCTTGTCGGGTGTAAAAATGGATCTCACCACCATCAAAAAAACAGGAAAAAAAGAATGGTACATAGCACTATTGGGTGTGGTCGTTCCTTTAATGACAGCTTCATCGATTGCACTTGTTTATCGGAAATCTTTTCACAAAGAACTAGCCAAAAGTTCTTCGATTTGGGGAGTTTCGACCACTTTGTCCATAACAGCATTTCCAGTTCTCTATACCATAATTCGAGAGCTCAATCTGTTAAACTCTGAGATAGGACGGATGGCCCTGTCGACCGCGGTAATCAGTGATGTGATAGGAATTAACGGTATTATCGTATTTGAGGCAGCCAAGCAAGGGGAAGTAAAGACTACTGCTGCTTTGTGGTATATGATTTCCTTTGTGGTGGTAATGACTTCCATTTTTGGTGGCATTCGACAATCCATGATTTGGATTGTCCGAACTACGCCCGAAGGTAATGTTAAAATCTGGACTCATAAGCTTAAAGCTCAAGCCAATTCTGTTCCAATTTTTCTATAAAGCAAAATATACATTGACTGCCTCATCAATGTCTCTTACCTTACACTCTTCAACTATCACGTTTCTCACGTTACACCAATTTTTGATTTCTAAGCCTTTTTTTATTTTTTTTACTAATATATTGGAGGTGGAATTGTTTTTCTTTAGCTCACATGTGGGTTTCCAACAGGTAAACCAGTGGAACAGATTTATATAATCGCCATATTGTTAGGTGTGGTGGTGGTGGGGTTTGTGACTGATATGTGTGGTCTAGCCATTGCTAATGGGCCACTGTGGCTAGGGCTGGCTGTACCAGATGGGCCTCCATTGGGAGCAACCCTTGTGGAGAGGAGTGAGACGATTATAATGGAGCTTCTGATGCCATTTTCGTTTAGCTACGTGGGTTTGTACACGGATGTGTTCTCCATGACTGGCCTCTGGTCGAGCTTGAAGCCTCTGTTTTTCATGGCGTTGGCTGGGCAACTAACAAAGATTGTTGTAATTGTAGTTGTCTCTCATTTCTTCGACATGCCACTCAGTGATGCTGTCGCTTTTAGTCTCATAATGAGCGTAAGAGGTCAAGTGGAGCTTTTGGTATTCATTCATTGGATGGATTTAAAGGTACTCAATCTCCCTCCCTCCCTCCCCGCCCATAAATGAACCCAATTTTGATCTGAATCTGAACTTCAATGGTTCAGATTAAAGTTTTTTACTATTAATTTAAATTCAAACCCATTGTATCACATAACATAGATTCACATATGACCATACTTATATCAAATGTGATCATTCTAACCATATCTATAAATACACATACGATGAAATTGAGTTAAAAATGATATTCCTCGTATCGGAATTAAATTCTATTCCAGTTGGGATATATTGAACATGGACTGCTATGCATCATGACATGCTTATTCTCTCATTGAAAAACAACTTCAAATGTCATCCAGTGTAATCTCTTTTAGGACATTTTGACTGTCTGCATACAGATGATAACGAAGCCATACTTTACAATGATGGTGCTATTGACAACAGCGATGACCGCAGTAGCTACGCCGTTTATCTGCATCCTCTATGACCCGACGAGGCCATACATGGTTAACACGAAAAGAAGTATCCAACACAGCCCTTCCAACAGAGAAATCCACATAGTAGCCTGCATTCATGATCAAGAAAGTGTGGCGGGTTTCATCAATCTTCTCGAAATCTCGAACCCAACACTGAGCAGCCCCATCTGCGTCCACGTTCTTCGCCTCATCGAGCTTGTTGGCCGCGCCACCCCTTTGTTCATTGACCATGAGAATCAGGACCAAGCCTCTGAGCAAACAAGTTTCAACTCAATTCACAATGCCTTGAAGCATTTTCAAGAATACAGAGGCGAATATGTGAAGATCCATTCGTTTACATCGGTTTCGCCGAAGAAAAGTATGTACCAAGACATTTGCGAGCTCGCTCTTGCGAAAAAGGCGTCCCTTGTTATCCTACCTTTATTTAAGGAAATCGGTCGAACAGATATGCGTGAAGGAGTTCAGTTCGTAAACTTAGACGTCTTGGCTCATGCACCTTGCTCCGTCGGCCTTCTCGTTGACAAAGGCCCTCTTCGAAACCAGCCGATGAACTCTTACAGAAGGGCCTCAAAACACCATATTGCTGTGCTTTTCATGGGCGGAGCTGATTCTCGAGAAGCCCTTGTTTACGCAGATAGAATGGCCGGAAGCCCAGATGTGTTCCTCACTGTTTTACGGTTTCTTTCACACAACAATCTGAGAGATGTGGGGATGGAGAAGAAGCTTGATGATGGGTTAGTGACATGGTTTTGGATGAAAAATGAGGGGAACAACCAAGTGATTTACAGAGAAATAACAGTGAAGAATGGGGAAGAAACTGTTGCTGCGATTCGGGCGATGAATAATGAACACTACGATCTTTGGATTGTGGGAAGGAATCGTGGGATAAACCAGGCGCTAATCCTAGGATTATCGACTTGGAGTGAAAACATTGATGAGCTGGGTGTTATGGGGGACTATGTAGCCTCCATGGATTTCGATAGTACAGCTTCTGTATTAGTGGTGCAACAACAAGTTTTGAGAGGCCAAGAGAGGGCTTCAGGTGGTGTACTAGGAAGATAATTTTCATGAATGTTGATATAAGGAATGAAAATATTGTTAGCTAGAACAAATAATATTTAATTTTATGTAATTTTAACCATGGTTTTAAATAACGGTAACGCCATAATGAACGCGAGTCATATTGGGCGACGTGTTACGTAATAATACCAGAAACTAAATATGAAATTTTTTTTTTCAATCACACCCCCCTAAAAATACATTTTTTAATGTTTTTACTGGTATCATTATATAATCTTTCAAAAATGATCACAGTCGGTAATATTTATACTATGGGCTGTGTAAAATAAAAAGGTTTCTTTGAAAGCCAATACACCAAATTAAACTTAATTGAAAAAAGGTACAAAGAAAAAAATATTTTGAAAAAAAGTACACTTCTTAGATACAAAAACATAAATGCTCATTTTGTTATTTTTTTTCTCTTAAAAACTATAACAAGACATTTATCATAACCCGCTGAAATTTAGGCTAGTTGAATTTAAAAACTATTCATCTTCCTCATAATCGAACTGTATATCATTATCCTCCAAGGAAACCGCTTCATATTCTTTAAATAGTTTTTGAAGGAAAACCGACTCTCTCTATCATCATCCAAGGAAAATCGATTCATCTTCCTCAAAAAATTGATGCTCTCTCTTCATCCAAGGGGTTTGGATTGTGCATTGTTCATCGATTAACGGAGGGATTGGGGTAACATTGGCATCGATTGAAGAAAGTTTGTTAGCGATTTGAATAGTTTTTGAATTTCGGCATTGTTGATCGTGATGTCAATCGTAATTGCTCATTGTTGATCTTTTGCGACAAGCATCTGAGTTTGTTCATCTTTGCCAGAGGTAATGTGTGTGTGTGTGTGTATATATTTGGTATTAACATCATGAGTTACCCAAAATCAAAATACATTACATTTATCTTTTTTTTTTTGGTTTTTTTTGGACTGAAAGTGCTTGTTAAATTCATGTATTGAAAACATATTTTGTACACTTGAAGATTGAAGAAGAATTTGGGTAAATCTCTCTTTATTTTTGGCATAAGCCATAAAATTATGTATTTTTTATACCATAAAAGTTTTCCTATTATAAAAAACCAATGACTTATTGGATGTTGTACATTTAATAATTCCTTTTTCAATTGTTTGAATATAGGTCTAAACTGGTTTGAATAAAGCTTTATACATATATATGTTTGTCTGAATGTAATATAACAGGTGTTTGAGTTGTGCTTTGTTACACAATTATTGGTACACTTTTGTTGTTACACTAGTTTTGATACACTTTTATTTTGTTATACTGTTAAATTACACTAAATCTTTTGTTTTGTTTTAAAACATTGTTGTGTGGTGAATGTTAATTATCCAGGTTGTTCAGGGACACAGTTGTTTATTCCTTGTTGTGTAATTCTATGTGATTACACTGTGTGTCAATCCTAAATGTTGATTGTGTTATTATCACAGTCTAATATAGAAAGTGTAACATAAAAATGATAACACATAAAAGTGTAACAAAGTTATCAATATAGTATAACAACATAGTAGTTACCCAACAAAGTGAAGAATAGTGACCCATCAGACACAGACCTGTATATTCTATTTATAAAGTGTTGTTGTGGGGGTAATAATACAATGTTCAGGGATGCAAAATGTTTAATCTTTGTTGAATAACTCTGTGTGTAAATTCTAAATGTTGACTGTGTTACTCTCACAGTGTAATATAGAAAGTATAACACTGTTTTTAGTTCACTTATTTGGTTATACGTTGTTTTTGGTTCACTTATTTGACTGTGCTATACACTATTTTTTGTTCATTTATTTGGTTATATTGTTATAGTTAAATTTAACCTTTTGTTATACATTGTATACTTTGTACTTTGTCTCTTCCCAACTCAAAGTTGTGATGGGGAAAGAACAAATGATGGAATCGAAGCAAGAGCCTAAATACAAATCAAATTTGCTTGCAATAATTAAAGCAATAGATGACATTAAGATAAGTGAAGCACATAAGAATATTTTGAAGAAAACACCATTTTGGTTACTATTGGAAAGTATCATTGATAAAAAAATTAGACAGGTCATTGTGTAGGAAGAGTGATAGTAACATATAGGATGTAATAATGTACTTTGATATTAATACATCCAAATTTCACATTAGTGGGGAAGAGATTACATTGAGAAGAAGTGATATGAAAATAATATTTGGGATTAATGATGGACGCGATCCAATGGATTCATCATCTCATGGTAAGGAAAATACAAAATTTGTTAAATGAAGATTCAAGAAGGATAGCATGTTAACATCAATTTTGATAAAGAGTAGACTGGTTGAAGCAACAAGTGGTACAACAAAAAATGACATTGATAAAATTGTAAGGCTACTATGCCTATTCTTAATAGTAACACTCTTTTGCACACACATTAGGACATCTATAGGATGGGGCTTTGTTTCATATGCTGATAATTAAGATGTAATGAAGAATTATGATTAGTTAAGTACTATCCATGAAGCTCTTATTTCTTCACTTCAGAGAAAGAGTAGCAGCTCATCCGGTGTTACTGGATGCGTAATGTTGTTACTGGTAAGCTGTTAATAACCTCGTTCCATTTTCAATATTGTTTCATGTTATTTAATAAAATAATGTAATTCATTTGCTTATATTAAATTTGTATGTATGTATAGTATTGAGTTTGTAAACATACAATAATTGTCAAATCTGACAAGTCAAATGTAATACCAAGGATTGTGAAATGGAATTTACCGTGTCTTCAGAGAGCTACGAAACAAAGTACGCTTGAAAAGTTGAAGTCAAAATATGTAAGTTGGTTAAATATAATAAATATAGCTTAATATGTCCATGTTATAGAATTTTTAAATCTTTTTTTGTTATCTTATAATACACTTGCGTTATAAACATTGTAATGTCACACTGTAATGAGACACTTCTATATTACACTTGTGTTATTTAATGTATACAATTATTGATTTTTTAAATGTTTCAAAGGTGTTGAGACATAGATTGAAGAGAATAGCAGAGGAGAAAATTTTTCTCAAATGTAAGGGAAGCAAAAAACAAGAAGGGGGCCAATCTAAATTGGAGGGAAAGAACAAAAGTGGTATTTGAGTACAGTTGGAATGAAGAGGGAGAACATGATACATTTCTTGGTATGACAATGATATGTTGGATGTCATTGGTGGTGATGATAAAGAGAATGTGGTATTTGAATATCTTATTGATGCTACTATTAACGAAGCAACACACAATCTTAATGTTTCCAGTACAAGATGACAGTGATATAAGAGAAGAAAAAGACACAAACAGACAAAGGCTTCAAGAGCTATTGAAGGAGAATGATGTCTTGAAAATTGTTATAAAGAACATAGACATAGATAAATATTTTTTGAAGCATTCACATTCTGTTTCTGGGGGTGATGAGTTAGACAAACAACAATTTGCATTCTCATTGAAAATGAAATAAAAGTAGACGATGATTAAGGAGTTGAATGAAGTTGTTGAAAATATGATAAAGAGGAAATAAATGTTTGAAGCAAAAATATAAGTTGTAAGGAAACAATCAAAAATCGAAAAAAATGAGAATGTTGAGTTAATTGATCAACTTAACGAATTATCTGTCCATGTCATAACTTAGAAATATCAACAAAAAATGTTGCAGCTCAAGATCATAGGGAAAAGCCAAAAATAGGACAAACATCAATGGTCCGAAAGATCAAGAAAAGAGATAGGAAAAGGAAGAGAGATGCAGAATTCGAATACAGTGTGAAAAAAAAAGGAAAAAAATCATAATGTGACATCATATGCGATCAGCCATAAGAACAATTTGAGTGAAGACAAATCTGGGCGAATAGTTGAGATTGTTGAAAATGATGACAGTATGGAAAAAATTACTACTGTTTAAGGGCTCACAAACAAAGAGATAAAAAAAATGTGGCATGAATGTGAAGCATTGAATGCGATTGATTTCAATAAATTGAAGATGATATATGATGAAGAGGGTTACGGGTAAGTGTCACTGTCCAATTAAAAATGTGTTAATTAAAAATTATGGTTCTTACCTACTTCGTTATATAAAAAAATATATGACAAGTTTGTTTACCATTTTTATGACATTGTAGTGGTCAAATATGGTCTAGGATTGAAATTGGAAGTGTAATATATGTGGAATATGCGTTGAAAATAATGGGAATTTCTTGTGAACTATACAACAATGTACGTATTATTAAAGTGAAACACGGAACTGCATTTTTTAGATTGAAAGTGTTGTTTGACAGTGTGACATGATCTGAATAGTGAAAAATTATATTTATTTTTTAACAGATCATTGACTATTGGACTGATATGTTAAAAGGAATTGATGATTACAATGAGATGTCCACATTTAAGAGATGTTGCTACTTCATCAACAGTTTTTGTTGGGTAAGATTTATAAAGAGCACAATGTACAAATAGTTGTTCAATTAAATTATTTATGAGTTGTTTAACACCTTATATATTACATATTTTGAATGTGTAGTCCGTTGTAACTCTTCCAAATTTAGAGTATGCACGTCAAGTAGAAATAGACAAGCACATACCATTCTCTGGAGATTCAAAATATGTTATTTTTCCAATGAATTCAAATGGTCGAAAAGAAAATTGTTCTCTTGACCACTAGACTCTGCTAGTATTGAATATTGAAGAAAGTGTCTGAACACATTACAACTCATTAAGGCTAAGAAGAAAATGCAATCGAGATATGTACCTAAAGGATGCAATCATATTGGTTTAATTATGTTAAAATAGTATTGTTAAAAGCCCATATTAGTTTGGTGTCAATCCATAATCTTAAAGCTTTTTATGTAATTGCAAAAAAAATATGTTGAAAAAAAGATTACGGGGTTCAATCATTCGAATGGGATCGACATAGACACACAAGATAAGGAGCTACCAATCATATTATGTCAGACATGTCCACAGTAGAAGTCAAACTCTTAAGTACTTGTTCTCCAAATACAATT